TTCCTAATACAATTGAGCGACACTGAGGAAGAAGGAATACAAGAACCTCATAACTTTGTGTCTTTCATTTTAACACAAAAGTGAAGATGCAACAGTGGACACAGAGCAACAGAGGGAAAAAATGAGGAGTGGTCTAACTCCAAATATTCCAGCAATGGGTTAGCTACATGTTTTAGCCAGGGTCTGTTACACTGCACCCCTGCACCTTTTGTAAACTCATGTGCCAACAGTTACAGCCACTAGGCAGAGTTAAGAATGTTCATCATTTCATGTTAAAATGGAGTTTTTCTCCTCAGACTCCTGTCAGGTTACCCGAACAATTTCCATGCTACATGTTTATGGAAGAACTGTTTTCTCATAATTTTCAATTTATAAATCATTCAGTGATACCAAGGAAAATAATAAGGGATGAGGGGGTGGGGCGTGGGGGTGTGAAGGGTCCAGCAAAACAGAAGTATGCCTCTATTTACAAATTCTCTAGCTGAGATGCTTTTGCACCTGTATGCTTTGAAAAGTTCTATTAATTATTAAATCATTTAAAAGAAAAAATATCTTTGAAGGCCTTTTAAATGCAGATATTCCCGCCACTAGGCAGAGTTAAGAATGTTCATCATTTCATGTTAAAATGGAGTTTGGAAGTCCATTTGGCTTTGGAAGTCCCTGAGTCAAAATTCTAAGGAGTGTGGCTGAGAAATACCTTCTGTCCTGTTAGTGTACCTTCCCTCACTAGTTGCAGCTGGCCACTTTCAGAGAGGGATTTGTGCTTTGACTGCCTTTTTAACCAAGAAAATTATTATGTTCCAATCAGGGCTGTGACTTTTTGCCTTGTTTGTGAGAGGCCAGTCCCATCTGGACAAATTCCAAACCTTCAGATCCCAGAAGTGCATTGAAGGCTGGTGATAAAAATTCTTACATGTTCAGTAGCACTGAGCATGATCCATCCCCAGAGTTTGTACATTTTGACCGGACCAAACCAGCTTTGCTCTGTTCAGGCACGGAGAAGGATTTCACCTTTAGTTCCTGCTCACTATACCTCAATTCCCCACTGGAATGTGGAGGTAGTGACAGCAGCTGTCTCAGGAGTGTGGGTGTGTGAGCTGCATGGGCAGAGCTGGCAGCCCTGGGAGTGTGGGTGAGGCTGTGCCAGGCAGCTGCAGGAGGCTGTGCACCCTCCTTTGCCTCGGGGTGCACGCAGGGACAGCAGCCAGCACAGAGTGCTGTCACAGTAGCCTTTTGGGCAGGACCTGATCTCTCTGCTCACACACAGTCAGGCAAGGTCACAGACAACAGTAAGAACTTGTGGGCACGTTCATACCATTCTATTCAGGGGTGAGCTGAAGTGATGAGTGGCGTGAAGCCACACACTGAATGCTGAGAATGAAATAAAAGCTGAGGTAGCAACTCATCCAGTGACCATCACCTCATTTTGCAATCCTTGATATTTGGCATGCTTCTAATATACTGCATGACCTTAGACCAGATATGTAGTTGTGTGTTAATATCACCACACATGAAAAAGAAGGCTCAATGGGGATGACATCACCCATCTTTATTTTTTTTAATTTTGTTTTTTGTTGCTGTATTTTTTGCAATTTTTATGGTTTTCAGCACAGTCTTTTACAGAAACTAACTGCCAAAGCTCTACTTCAGTATACTTAGAGAAGAGATTAACCTAGTACAAGTCATGTGATTACATATCTGTTTTGCCTCTTCTACCTAAAAATTTACCTTAATGAACAATGAAGAACCTGTGAATCAGCTCAAAGTGGGAAATAGTAATTAAAAAACTTTTTTTTTTTCCTGAGCCTGACCCTGCCTCTTCCTGCTGAGCCTGCCTCTTTTTTGAATTTAAAAAAATCAAACCTAAAGCCCCAAATGTTTTCTTCCAATGAGTTTTGAGGGAGTGAGTTAATCTTGCTGTGTTATAGTTATTGGGGCAGATATTCTCTAGCTTCATTATTTAAATTTCCTTACAATGAGAGCTATAATAGGCAAAAATAATGTCTGTCAATTATAGCTTAAAATTTCTTCTACTTTGAGTATGAATAGGGATCTAAAGGCTTTGTACAGAAAGTCTAATTTTTTGTCTACAGCTAGATATGCATCTCTCCCTTTTTGTGCTTGCAGACAGAGAATTGCAGCCAGAACCTGCCAAGCTATGCAGCAAGATGCTAATTTTTTGTCTACAGCTAGATATGCATCTCTCCCTTTTTGTGCTTGCAGAGAATTGCAGCCAGAACCTGTCAAGCTAAGCAGCAAGATATGTAGCATGGCAGAGCAGGGCCTGGACCCTGGGGAGGGCACCTGTAAACTGAAAAGACACCTTGGGTAAAGTTTTCAGTGGTAGTTAATGAAGCTGTGTGCCCCTTGTGACAGAATTTAATATTCTCACCACTCAGCCTGGCAGTCACAGCATTCTTAGAAGTAACTGCTGATGCAGCAGACCTAAGGGACTTTGTAAATAGGTCAGTGGAACAAGCAGCAAGTTCTCTTTTCTTCTTCTGTCTTCTTCACCACCCTGCAAAACCTGAGAAAATCAGTTATGGGAATAAAAATACAGATCTTAAAGAAGCACCAAGGAAAGAGATATCACTGCTTATTCAGGGTCTCAGCCAGTAAACTTTCTGATATTTTTTCCTAATTTTATAAATGGAAACATTCTTTTTGGAGGCTATCAGTGATTGTGAAAATATAAATAGAACAAATTTTAATGGTGTTGCTGTAACCTTTATGTCTTCTAGAAATCAGGCAGTTGCAAAGATAACACATCACATGTGAGACACAATAAGGGGGGAAAATGTAGTGTAGTTACTACATTTTATCAGAGCATTCAGAGGGAATAACTGTTTCCAAGGTTACACATAAAGTATGATTTATTGTATGGAATGATTCTGTAACTGAACAATTCAATCTGAAATCTATACAGGACTTAAAGCATTTGTTTTCTCCCACTCTTAGCCAATCCCTTTATCAACACAGGATCCCTATTTTAAAGATTTTGCATGAACAGGGAAAGAGAGTTGCCATGGAATTTACTTTGAGGTAAATAATGATGTCCTCTGCAAGAACTGGAAATTCTCAGGCTGTGGGCAGTTCAGATGTGATCTGGGAGTCTGCCTATGTAATCTTGAATAAAAGGCACTTCTGTCCAACCATTTATTTGTCTAAACTAGTTTACATCTGTAAGATGATTCAGTCAAACAAGGACCATGCAATGGCTCTAGAGTGGAATGGGACATGTTAAAATGTGAATGTAATTCCTCTTGCTGATTATGCATCTGGTGTGGGTATATTTCCTAAACGTGTTTTCAGACTCTAATGCAGAGAAGGGCTTGCTAGATGCAGTGGTGCAATAGGATATTTTCTGGATTGAAATATGCTTTGTTTCTACCCCTCTGTAAAACACAGAGGTAATCTAGGGCATTGACTTTGACCCGTCATGTTTCTTTTGAACATTGTTCATGTCACTCTGGTGTGCAATGATCAAATATTTCAAATATTCACAATCATACCTGGATTTTCCATTGAAGGGATTTGTAACATGTTTTGAAGGCTGAACAAGTTGAGTAAAACAAGTGTAAACTGGTAATTAATAAAGTCTCTTAAAAATCTCTGCTTTTCTTAGTGCCAGAGAAGGTGATACATTCACGTTGATTAAAATTATGTTCGTGTGCAGCTGATTCATGTGATGTAAAAGTTGAAGGTTGTGAATTCATTTGTTTTATTACCATTATTTCCAATGTGTTGCTTAATCTGCACTGAGTCAGAACGGATTTTTTATTAACTCATGCCAGTACTAGTGCCACAAGTGTGTTCTGAATAGGCAGCAGGGCTGATGTCTCCAGCTTGGGCTTAAGTCCTAAGCGTGCCCAATGATAATTGATAATTTATATCTGCAGACAAATATTCTGAAGCCTTTGACCTACAGAGGAACGCTTCATAATCTTTCCAAACACTGTATGTTCCCCATTGGAAGAGGTTTACTATGATAAGGTGTAAGGAAACTTCTGTAAACCAGGTAACAACATTCAGATGTTGTTAACATCTTGATAACAGCCTAGCAGTGAATTTAACCAGAGAATACTTGTAAGATGTGATCTGACAAGATAACAACCAGAGCTCTGGGGAAATACAGATGTAAGTCACCAGCCATGCATTCAGCCTTCTAGTCAGGAGGACAACAGGTGCTCTGTAGAGGAGGATCTGAAATGGCAGGAGGTGTAAGTGTTGTTTTCTTTCACATTCTTGCAGATTCTTCAGGCATGAGTAGAAACTCTCTGTGAAGAAAGTGTGGTGGCTAGCTGTGATATGTTGGTAGAGACAGTTGGGAAAACAAATAAAGAGGGATGAGACGAGCAACAACAAAACCTTACATAGTGCTTTAAGTGTGTCTTCGCATTCTAGTCAGGAGGACAACAGGTGCTCTGTAGAGGAGGATCTGAAATGGCAGGAGGTGTAAGTGTTGTTTTCTTTCACATTCTTGCAGATTCTCCAGGCATGAGTAGAAACTCTCTGTGAAGAAAGTGTGGAGGCTAGCTGTGATATGTTGGTATAGACGGTTGGGGAAACAAATAAGGAGGGATGAGAGGATGAGCAACAACAAAACCTTACATACTGCTTTAAGTGTGTCTTTAGTGTATGTACACTTTAACAGCTATCCTTACTGGGAATAAGCATTTAAAGAAGAGAGATAATAGCCATAAATCTTGAAATGGTCGGAGTACTGCAGGTCGCAGACACTGAGTCACAGGTGACAGGGGAGGATGTTACAGTCAGAAGTACGCAGCACTTGGGAATGTGGTTTTACTGGCGGGTTTGGCAGTGCTGGCCCAACAGCCGGGCTGGCTGATCTTTGAGCTTTTTCCCAACACAGATAATTCTGTGATCCTGCGGCATCCGCAGCTCCTGGCGAGTCCGCCTCAAAGCTTACTGAAACCTCCGCCAGGGGGCGCCGCCTGCTCCGCCCCGCCCTCAGCGCGCCGGGGGCGGGGCCGGAGCGCGCCGGGGGCGGGGCGGCTCCCGTGCGCCTGCGCGCGGCGCCCCCGGAAAGGCGGCCACGTCTGCCGGAAGCGCTGGGGCTGAGGCGCCGGTCCCTCACGGCGCCCCCGGGCCGGGGCTGCCCCGCGCCTGCAGGAGGTGAGGCCGGGCCCTGCTGAGGCCGCTCTGAGCGGGGCCGGGCCTGGGGAGGGCGGCGGGCCGGCGGGGCTGGGAGTGGGGGCCAGCGGGCTCTGAATGCCGCCTTGCCGGGGGCCGGGGCAGGGGCACACGCCCCGCTGCGGTGGCGCGGGCCCGCGGTGCGGTGAAGGCTCGCACCTGTCCGCCGCCTTGGTGTCACGGCACAGGCAGCGGCTGCAGAGGCTGTGCGGGAGAAGGTCCTGGCCTGAGCCGGGTCAGGAACTTGCAGGCCAAACGCCTAAGGCATAGTTGTTTTCTCTTTGTGATACTCTGTAGCAGCTGAAGATACCCGAAACTGATGCTCTGATTTTAATAACCTTGATTTAAAGACCTAGGTTTGGTCTGCTTTTCTCAGAAACCGAATTGGTTTATTTCCATTAGTTACTGGAACAGCAAAATACCAAATGAGTAGAAGAAAAGTATTGTAATAACTGCAGCACTGATAGCTTAACCCTCCAGTTGTTAAGATAAACAGTACATCTTGCCTCAGCAGCAGCAATCTGATTTGTAATCCTTCTGTTTTTCACAGCATATGGTGCTGGAATTTTAATTGTACAGAGTTCATCAACAGCCACTCATCATGTCTTGGCTTGCTGATCTCGCTGGAAAGGCAGAGGATCTGCTCAACAGAGTTGATCAAGGAGCTGCATCAGCTCTGAGCAAAAAAGACACATCGAGCCGTGCAGTTTATGATAACAAGAACTTGGACTCTGCCAATGAATATTCTGAAGTGCACCAGCATACTGGAGAACTGAAATACCAGACCTCATCCAAAGCAGCCTACATCTCCTCAGCAGCTGAAAATATTAAACACCAAAAGGCCACAATCCTGGCAGGAACAGCAAATGTTAAAACAGCACGTAGGACATCCTCAGAGGCAGCTTCTCCAGCAGAAAATGCTTCCACACCCAGAGCTGCCTCACATTTTGTGAGAAGAAAAAAGTCAGAACCTGATGATGAGTTGCTATTTGATTTTCTCAACAGTTCAGAGAAAGACCCCAATGGAAGGATAGATCCTAAAAAGGAGAAGAGCAAGGCACCTGTTCTTCAGAATCACTCTCGGACTTCAAGCATTAGTTCTGTGTCCACCAGTACACAGAGTGCAAAAACTACTGAAGATCATTCCCTCAGGAGCCAAGGCAATGGTAGCTAAATAGTATTGAACCTAGAGATGTTTAAACCCCAAGTGTGTCTAGGGTGAGGCTAGGTAACACATGAAACTTCATGAAGCACTTCATGGTGGTAGTGTGTCAGATGGGTGAGGTGCAGCAGGGCCCTTCAGGCTCTCTCCTCATGGGGCAGTCCTAGATGCTGTGCTGGTTTGACAGAAAACATGATTAATCCTAAATCCTTTGTGCTCTGGACCTGCCTTGCTGCTGCTGCTCAGCCTGACCCCTCTGAGCTGTGGTGTGACCTTGCACCAGCCCCACATGTCCCTGTGTAGAAGCACAGTGCTGCTGCTTTTGTCTGGTCCCTTGGGCCTGCAGCTGGTGCTGCCCCGTGGGAGGGGGAGTGACTCTCACCCACACAGGGACAATGTTGTGTAGCCCAGTGCAGGGGTGGCGTGGGCTGAGTGTTCCCTGCTCCAGCATGCAGGAGGGGTGAGCTGGCAAGCATGCTTGTCCTGCAGGAAGCTGGATGCAGGCAGGCTGGTGTAGAGCCACAGGCATGAGAGAGCCAGGGAGGTAAAGCCTCTGGCTTTGCCAGAAGGAGCTCATGACTGCAGTCGAAATCCAGAGGCCTGAATGAGCCTCCAGGCCAGACACTCAAAAGCTGGGGCTGGGCTCATGTCAAGCATACAAAGGAGAATGGTTGGGAAGTGTCAAGAAGTTCCATTCTCTGCCAGACTGTCCAGTCTGTACTCCATCCTTGTTGCTGTGCTACTTTGCTGTTATTTATTTTAGATAATTGAAGCAAGTGGTTCTGTTAATAATAATAATGTAGTTAGAATACTTAATTATTTGTTGAGTACTTTGAGCATGTAAAGTATTGTAAATGCCAGTTTTTTACTTACTGCATTAAGCATGCTGAAAAAGTATAGACATAAAAAGAGATGATTTCCAAATGTGAATATTTTTCTGAGTCCATGACTTTTCAGTAAGGTTTACTAGTAATAATAATTAATACAGATATGTTAGACCTCACTCTATGGTGCTTAAGAAATACTTGTTTTGCTCAGTGTGGCTTGTTGCATTTTCTTCTGAGTATTTTTGAGCAGAGTTTGCGTTGTGGAGCTGCTGAATAAGGAAGAATGCAGTTACAATACAGGATTCGAACACGCTGCTTTTGAAGGTTCATTGTACAGATATATCTGTGTCATTTAAATATTCAGCACAGAATCTGTTGAAGTATCTTATGATGTATTAGCTGCAGACAAAACCAGTTAATACTATACTTTGTATATTGTCATGATTATAATCTAATCTGTACTATAAATGGCTCATTTCTTGGTTCATTATCTTAATTAGTCTATTGAGTTTTCCAGACACAGAAATGAGCCTAAATTATTTCATAAGTTGGAAGCTGTGTAAGTAAATCAAAGGAAAGATAATGGCACTTCTTAGGATCCCTTAAGTGGAAAAAGACTTGAGAAAATGTGGAAGAAATCTTCTGTCACTGCTGCTGCTTGTGGGTGTGGTGTTGCTCAGAATTAACAGTGTGCTCCTGTTCCCTGGGCTTGGGGTGTTGGGGGCTGTTGCAGTGGTAAGAAAAGTGTAGCAGCTTGGTTAATGATCACAAGGGGAAGTAAATATACAGCAGTAACGTGTTTGGATTGCCTGTTTGTTTGTTCATGGCTTGCTTTGTCATTTTACCTTAACATGGCTGCAAAGCTTCCAACTATCTGCTGGAAGCAAGACTCTTACTGTGGGTTTGTAGCTTTCACAGCATTAATCAAAGATGTGTGTGTGCATGATGGGAAAAGGCTGCTGGTTCCCCCTTCCCTTCAGGGGACTTGTTCAGAATACCACTGGGAGTTCCTTTATTGTTCTCTCTTTGAAAACAGAATTGATGTTGGCAAAACCTGAATGGAAACCAGAATGAGTTTGTACAGAAAATTCCTGCATTTAGTTGCCGTGTATATTTAGTGTTTTCTGTTACTCTTCAGCTTCTGAGGACTTCTCTGAGCAGCAAAGTCATAAATAGTGTGTTAATGTTTTGAAATCCTAAAGTTGCCATTTATGTAATAAAAAAATTTATAACTTCTGTTATGTTTTGTCTTGCAGTATTAACAAAAACACTGCATGATGCATGTAAATGCTCCTGTTTTGTGCAATTGCTTTTGAGAAGCAGCTCCATACTCCATTTCAGCATGAACTATTTTGATTTATTATCACTGTTGTTCCTTAACCATTGATGCAGAACCTGGAACTACTGTTTATAGAAGGGTAGTTTACAAACACATGCATTTGTTCTGAGTTACATCTCTCTGTACAGAAACTCCAGACAGCTCAGACTCTGGCCTGGGAGCACAAGGGAATGACCTGAAGGATTCATCACTGAGTGCAGTGACCAGCCCCAGCCTTTCAGCTAATGATGATTCCAAATCACACGAGCTGTCCAACCTCCGCCTGGAGAACCAGCTGCTGCGAAACGAGGTTCAGTCTTTAAATCAAGAAGTGGCTTCATTAATACAGAGGTCCAAAGAAACACAAGAAGGTACTTCAGCTATAGCATTAGTAAAGTGCTAGTGAACTAGGAAACAATGCTCTGTGTGTTTATAATTAAAACTCTCCAGGTACCTTTGCATGTACGACTTCCCATGTAATGAGATGGGAGAAATTAAAAGGCTTGTTCAACTACAAAGATACAACAAATGTTGATTAAAATGATGTGTTCAAGTTAGTTGCAAAGCTTACATCTTAATAAAATACTGGCAGGAAATACCAGGTTTAAAATACTTTTCCTGTATTTTAATGGCTTTTGCAAAATACTTATTTTTTAAATGCGTACATTTCTTTTGAATACTTCAAACTGACTGCTTTCTGGCTGTAGTAGAGTATAGTCTCTGATGCATAGAAACTGACAGTAAAAATATAAAATGATTATTTTTAATATGACATCACTGGCTTCTTCAAATCCAAGTGAAATGTAAAACATGTGAGTACGAATTTAAATATAAAACAGAGAGCAAACTCCTGCTGTTAGACATATAATTGAGGTGCCACATTTTTTTCACAATAATTGCATAAGCCAGATAATTTTAATATATAGTGAAATTTGATTAAAAACAGAAGCTTTTAAGTATTCAGGCATTATTCACGACTGGTGTATTTTTCTGTTGTTTTTTATGTGGCAATAAACTCAAACAGGAATTAAACTAGATGCTTTATGCAAACATTTCTCTTGGCACAGGGATATTTGACAGTAGGCCATTGCAGGGGATGAAGCAGGTGAAATATGCAGTGTGACTCAGAAGGAAATGTCTATTTTGAGATCACCTCCAAAATTTTCTGGGTTGTGCTTTGACAGCCAATCTGGCATTTGTTACTTCCCTTACTTTAGCTTATAAATTTTCCATTTTACTTCAACTTGGTTATGTTTAATTTTTTTTTAAGAAATGACATGGTTGCATCCTGACTGCTTACAAGACCTTGAAATATCTACTTTTGTAAACTTGAAAGCAACTTCTTATATTGTAGAACTGAACAAATCCCGGGAGAAGGTGGAGAAGTGGAATGTTGACCATTCCAAGAGTGACAGGATGGTTAGAGACCTTCAGGCTCGAGTGGATGATCTGACAGAAGCAGTTGGTGCCAAAGACTCACAGCTAGCTGTGCTGAAAGTACGGTTGCAAGAAGCTGATCAGCTCTTAAGTGCTCGGACAGAAGCTTTGGAAGCGCTGCAGAGTGAAAAATCACGGTACTTCTTAATTTCCTACTTTGGAATTCTGCAAATAGTAATAAGTTTGAAAAAAATCAAGGTAGGTAATTTAATGTCTTCAAGAATAAAAAATAATACACTAATGAGGAAAGATTTGAAATACAAGGATTAAAGTTTGCACTGAAACTCCTCTATCATAGTTGGCAGTGGGAGCAAGACAATTAAATAGAGCATTTGTTGGCATCTGATTATTGAAATCCATTTTGTGTGTTTATGTTTGTGTCAGAGGCGTGAAGCTGAAGATCCCAAGAATTTTTTTTCTTGAAAAATAGACTTGCTTTTCCACAAATATACAGGTTTTTCTGAACTTATCTCACTGCTGGGATACGGATACTCCAGAATATAGGCCAGGGAGGAGAAGTGTGGGTCATTAACTCCAGGCCTCACACCTGTAGTCTGTATGCAGTAATCTACTGGGCAAATTTTCAAAGCTGGTCTGGAAGCTAGGAGGTTATAGTTATACATGAAAAATCACAATAGCTTGCTTCTTTTCCAATAAATGTGTGTCTCTATTTCAGGATAATACAAGACCACAGTGAAGGAAGCAGTTTACAAAATCAAGCCCTTCAGACTCTTCAGGAGAGGCTGCGTGATGCAGACTCTGCACTCAAGCGAGAGCAAGAAAGTTACAAACAAATGCAGGTTAGACATGAAGAGTCAGGAAGACTGATTTTGAGATCAGATCCATGAGGTTCCATGTGCTCTCTCCTCCCTTTGTCTTCAGTTCCTGTTCAGGATACTAATTGCTTGGAAGGGTGTGCTGCTGTCTGCTGCACTAAATACCTTGAGATGCTAATTTATTTCTTACATGTTATTTTGAAAGCTTCATGAGTAAAATTTTTTGATGATTAATGTTGACAATTTTTAGTGGGGTTTTTTCTGCTAACTTTAATGTTAATACATGTTTGAAAGGTAAATCAGTTTTGTTTTCCATGGTGTGTTGTTATACAATTTTACTGTGAGATCTTAAGATGAAGGATCACTTCTGTGGTAAAGATGCAAGTACATTATTGTTAGAGAATGTTTTCTGTGCTTAATTTGGCCCTTGCTACATATAATAGCATATCTGAAAATCTTTGAGAGTGTGTGTTTTGGTTTTTTTTTACAGTACTTCAAAATATGTCGTACTAAAATTGATAATATTTTTTGAGGGGCAAGCTTGCTTTTTGTTTGCTAAATAAATTTGAATAATAGGAATATTGTTATTCCCTCACTATTTGTGGTGAGGGAAAGAAAAGCATATTCTTATTTGGATTATTTACCATGTAGTTAAGCAAGCACAGTTTCTTTCTACATAGCAGTAATGAGTCTTTAAGTTGGAGGTGGTAGATATGAGGTGGTGTGCTCTGTGTAGTTGCTTTTAAACTTTCTTTTTTCCTTCCTAGGTTAAAGTTGAAGCTGTGTTTAAACACAAAGTATTGTTTCTTTATTACTAATAGAATGAGTTTGCGGCTCGTCTAAGTAAAGTGGAAGCAGAACGGCAGAACCTGGCAGAAGGGATAACTGCAGCAGAGAGAAAGTATTTAGATGAAAAGAGGCGAGCTGACGAGCTTCAGCAGCAAGTCAGAGTAACTAAAAGCCACCTGGAATCTGCAAAACAGGAACTGACAGACTATAAACAGAAAGCTACTCGCATTCTCCAAGTAAGCACCGTTGTGAAGAAATACAGTGTGATTTGTGTGCTTTAACTGCTTTAAGGTGTTATGCTTCAAATAATCTAACCTGTGGTATATTTTTTCATGTGACCTGTAATGTGTCCTGGGGCTTATTTGTAATGATACATATATAGAACAGCTACCAGTCTGCTTTTTGTAAACTTAAGTTTATGGATGAGGTTAGGGAATTGAAATGGTAGTTCAGGTCCTGAACCTGAAAATAAATCCAAGGGAACCGTTGTGTTTATTGTGCATCATCTGTCAGTGTGTTCCACATCCAAGAGTCCAGATAGTTAGATGAAACTGCAGTAGATGAAACCACCAATTTGTGCCATATCCAGTATTTTTGATTCAAGAATATTACTCTGTTCTGCCTGGGGCTGAAGCATAGCATAGAATGGATACATAACACATACCCAGAGAATATTTTTCCATGTCCTGAAAGGTTGCTTTTGATTAATGTGATACAAACAGTGGCAAAATCAGGTATTTTGTGCCATGTTCTGTACTATGTAAATTGTCAAAGATACCATGTCCAGATGTAGTTGGTTTGAGTCCTGTTTATAAACATTAGCAAGATGTTGAAGATAAAGATCTCTTCTTAGAATAGTTAATTTAGTCAAATGTTCAAGGACAGGTTCTAAATCATCTTGGTAAATATGAAAAGCCTAAAATCACAAGTCAGTGTCAATATAATAGTAGGCTGACTCTGAATAAAATTATTTATCCTCTTTCCTTGAAGAGTTACTGCTGTATTTGGTTCTTGATTTTGTTGGCAGGAGAAGAAGGGGTTCAGTTTTGTCTACAGTGTCTGTTGGTGTGCATCTTGTCTGCTTCAGTACCAAGAGGGCCAAAATTGTTACCCATGACAAGTTTAACATTCCAGGCACTTGTAAATTAAGTTATCTTCCACAGATAACACAGACTTTCAGTTAAATTAGTCTCATGGCATACAGAAAATCAGAAAAATTATCAATATGGAAACATTTTAATTTTAAAATGTGTAGGGTCTTTACTGGATAAAAGAACAGATAAACCAGTCATAGCATATTCTAGTTGAGCACTTGTTCACTACTGCTGTAAATAATGTATTGTCTTATTTTTTCAGTCTAAAGAGAAGTTGATAAACAGCTTAAAAGAAGGCTCTGGTATTGAGGGCCTGGATAGCAATACAGCGAGCACGGTGGAACTGGAGGAACTGAGACATGAGCGAGACACTCAGAGGGAAGAAATACAAAAACTAATGGGACAAATCCAGCAGATGAGAGCAGAGCTGCAGGTAGCTGTACCTATGTACATGTGTATTTGCAGTTAACTGTGACAAATGGCTGTTCTCTTGTACACTGTGGGTCTGTTGTTTCTGGTATTTTATTACCTTACTTCTCTCTTCCCTCACTCCTGTGTACTCCTTTTGAGGGAAGCATTTCTTTCCTAACAGTCATAGTGATTTCTCTAGCCATCACCTATATTCTTTTCTGCGAGAGCTACTAATCCTTGAAGCACTGTAATCCAAGTCATCCATGCCCATCTGCTGGCACAATGGGCTCAACACAGCAGCTGCATGCAAGCCCATTTTGCACAGATCTAGCCTGTAGACAGTAGAAAGGAAGACAGCAGAAAGGAAGAACAAAATGCATTTATTTTATTACTGTGTTACTAAAAATATTCCGTATAAAATGACCAAATGTAATTTATCCTATACACCCACACCTTCCTTTTCCTTTGAAAAAATATTGTATATACTACTTTTTTTGTTGTTACCTATGACAGTAACATTTGAATGTTAGTGAAATGGTTATAATTGTGTTCATTTCAGGATATGGAGACACAGCAGGTAAGCGAAGCTGAGTCAGTGAGAGAGCAGCTTCAAGACATGCAAGAGCAGATATCGGCACATCAAATGGCCAAGCAAGAGGCAGAAGCTGAACTAGAACGGCAAAAACAGGTAAGGAATTCTTGAAAGCTGGATCTCCTTTTAGGCCCCGTGTGGTGTCATCAGCAGAGCATTTGGCTTAAGAAGAGAATATTTGGATACTTGGACAGTGTTTGATTAATTTTTTGTCTAGTACTCCACTAGGTCAAGGAAAGTGTAGCCAAGATTAAGCCATGGTTAGGGCCTTCTGGATACTGCTGCTGAATAGAGATCCTGGTGAATAAACAGAATCCTAAGGGAGGGCACAGAATTGATCAGGATCTTGAATTTTATTCAGCAGGGAAACAAACAGCAGTGATATAGTAACAAATGTAACATTTTTTATATCAAAAAACCCTAATACTAAAAGTGGCTATTGTGAATCATCCTGTGCTCAATTAATACATAAGTTGTAGCTTGTAAAACAATGTCATTGTAGTACCAATTTTAGTGGTAATTTATTTAATCCATTTGTTACTCAGTTCTGAATCTAATTGTCATTACTTCTAAACTGCTCTAGTAGAGAAATTGCTGATAAAATTATGTTAATTAATTCTGTCAGATTCTGTCAGATCTTTTTGAGCAAATTCTGCCTTGATTTAAGCAGTTTTGTACTATAAAGAGAGCGGGGGGAAAAGGCAGACTTGTATTTCATGTGAACAAACTTATTATGCAGTAGGAATTGGACAAATATTTTGCATATTAAAAATTTTCTTTGTAAGAAAAAGCTCATGTAAAGAGAATTGATAATGAAGAAAGCATGAGTCCTCTGTATCTGCTAGGAACAATTTATCTTACAGGATTATCTATCCTTTCAGAAATTACATTTTAATGGGATGCTCGCGGCTTGAACTAATTAAAAGGCAGAAGTCGAGGTCTGCTCTTGATGGGTAGCTGATGTTTATTATGTCAAGGCAGATGGTAGATTGTATTTTGTTACTCCTGCCCTTCTGAGGAATATGCTTTAAGTCAATAGAAAGAGTGAGGTGAATTAAAAAAAAATCAGTTATTGCAGAAACTGGAGTCTTCCTTTTGATGACACCCATTTACATGTGCTTTTAACATAATTGCTTGTGTTGATACTTAATATAATTATGGTCAGTTCTGTCTGGGAGTTGTTTTAACTATTGTCATAAGGTTTCTGAAACTGAAGATGGAAAATAAGTAGAGATGTTATTTTTTTGTACGTCTGGTGGTTCAAAGGGATTATCTGTTTTCTATAGTAACTGACAGCTGAAGTCATAGTGATTTGAAGATTGTTTTAATTTAAAATATAAGCTTGACAGGTCTTTAAGTGGGAGCTAAAATAGTCACTAAATCATGGGAGTAACAAAACAGTTAGATTTACTCTTCAGTATTTTTTTTTCTAATATTCCTTCTCCTTTCCTATCTGCTTTGTTAATTTATCCTAAACATTAGAGAAGATGTCATAGAGAATTATAGATAGCTATGCAAAGGGTTTTCAAACATGTTTGAAGAATGGTATTTTGAATTAATGAATTTATTTTAGGAACTGCAGATACCCCCTAAGTATTTTGTGACTGTTACATTGTTGACATGATTTTAAATAGCACTGCAACAAATGGTGAAAGTGTAAGGATGATAAAATTTTGGTCCCAATGAAATTGTGTGAATCCTAGTAAACAAGTCTGGATTAATATTTATATTAGGGCAGTCTCCACAAAAGAATTTCATTAGCCTTGTAGATTGTGTCTTGATACTCCGCTCTCTCTATCCCCATACCCCCCATCCATGTAACTATGATAATATTTCAGTTTGTATTTGATTGCAGCATATTGGTTCTGTTGTGAAACTCAAGATAACTAGAGTTTGTCTTTCAAAATACATATATGTGTAAAATCTTTTATGTGTAATTGTGATAAATTTTATAGGAACTTCATTATACTGAAGAAGAACTGTATCGAACAAAGAATACTTTGCAAAGCAGAATAAAAGACAGAGAGGAAGAAATTCAGAAGCTCAGAAATCAGGTGTGTATAGAAAACAATTTTATCCCCTTCAGCTATGAAAACAGTGATAGGAACTACTCATTTGACTAAACTATCCTGAAGAATCTGTAAGCATTCTACTAGTGAGGTACAGTGTACTTGTTTTCAATAGAGAGTAGAGTTTTGAGAGTAGGGAGTACGAGAGGGGGAACCATGTGAACAGCCTATTTTATAGTTGTATGTGCTTTTATATAAAGGCTGGGGGAAAATCAACCACTGTCCCCACTAGACCGGGTGGGGCGTGTTGGATCAATGTTCTTCTCTTTGCAGACTAAAAATACTCATTGGAATTTGATTAGGTCATTATGAATTCTGCTAAGATCCTTGTAACTGTTCAAAGAACCTAAGTTACATCCTGCAGACCCTGTGATCCATCTGGCCCACTGTTCTGTCCTGGCCAGTGGCAGTAGGGGCCACCATGTGAGCCTGGCCACTCCTTCTCTCCTGTGTACCTGCTCAACATCAGCAGTTCACTTAGGATTGTCAGTGTTTAAGTCTTTACTAAGTTCTGCTGCTGTGTGGATGGACCTGTTCCCCTTGTATCAGTCTAATTCCTTTTGGAACCTCCACATATTTGTGAGCTCCCACAGTCTCCTTGGGCAGCATAAAGGCATAGGCCTCATTCTGTTCAGTTACCTTAGCATAGTGAAGGTAGGCTGTTAATGGGGAAGCTGGCAGCCTGGAGTCAGGTGTGGTCAGCTGAGCAGTTACAATAGCAGGATTTGGAAATGGTTGTGATGTGATACAGATTTCTTGGGCATGTTGGCAGATGAATTTTCTGGTAGTGCTGAACTTCAGGACCACCTGCACCTGCCTCTGCCTGGTTGCAGGCACCAAGTTTGTATTTTGGGTGTCTGTAATCCCTGATGATTCTTTTCTTCATTAATGAAGCTATATCTGTGTGGAATATGATGCCACAAGGTGGCTGAGGTCCAGGACTGGAGTGAATAGATGAGCTATTGCACATATGGCAGATCTGGTGATTCCCCATTTGCTTGAAATCTTTTCTGCAAATTGGATGACATCATCCATGTCCAACACATGATCCATTTGCTGGCCTTGCAGTTTCTATTTGCTAGTGCAATCATGTTTTCTGCCTTGGTGATCCTCAGTTCTTCTGCAGCATATCCTGCATTGTCACCATTTCATTCACGTTTTCCTGTAAAATGGCATCAGGTTCTCCCCATTTGTATTGAGTTTTTCCTTCGTTGTGTGAAAACATTTTTACATACTAAGTTGAAGGTATGGTAGCCAGGCTGGATTAGCTTGCTATTGATTGCTGTTTAAACCTGTCTCTGAGGCATAGCATCAATGTTGTGATCAAATCTAGGTTTATATGGAAACTTTCATATGATTCTAGGTGGAAAACAGAAATATATGTTTTTGCAGAGTTTCTTGTGTAATGTAAACAGTTAGCAGCTGTTGACATTAAGTTTCCTCTTTATTGCATTCATCAGTGATAGTTTTGATGGCATTGTCCTGTAAAACTTCTGCTGTGGAGTAACTTGGTTCTTGAAAACTTAGGTTCTTATAGAGTTTTGTAATATGTCAGTAGGTTGGAGTTTGAATTTAGAATGATTTTTTTTTCTTTGCTTTTTTAGCTCACAAACAAGACTCTAAGCAGTAGTAGTCAGACAGAATTGGAAAATCGGCTTCATCAGCTGACAGAAACACTAATTCAGAAGCAAACCATGTTAGAGAGCCTGAGCACAGAGAAGAATTCACTTGTGTACCAACTGGAACGGCTGGAGCAACAGCTGAAGGCCATCCAAGGCACAGGTGCAAATGGACCTTCCATTAACATGGCAGGCATTGATGGTGCTGAAGGTAAATAAGGAAATACAATACTTACAACTCTTGTCTTTTCTGCAGTCCAGGCTATTTTGTTTCCTAATGTGTTTCCCTGAAAGTCTGAGTTTGTAAGGAAAAATAAATGAAAATAGGCCACTTATTCTAAAGACCTTCTCTACAGCAGCCAGTATCATAAAAATAGTTAACCAGAAGCTCCTTTTTGTGAGCAAATGACTTCAGTAAATTTAATAAAGCAAATTTAGTCTTTAATTCTCAACACTATGGCACTGTTGGAATAATTCTGTCACAGGTGTAAATAAACTAGTATTTTGGGGTTTAAACTGAATGTTAGAAACAGGATTTAAGTGTTCTCTTGCAGAAAGGATTTGGGAGGAGAGTAAGAATGGAGTACTTCCTTTTGAGAATTGATCTGGTTGAAATTAAGTTCTTCCTTCCTTGCTTTCTGTTTTTCTTGAAAAGCAGCTTAAAATATGATGGTTCTGATATAGTTGGCTTGTCAGTCCTGTATTTCTGGGACAACCCCAGCAGCTGATCCAATGTGTTGAGATGTTACTTTTCAGAATCAAAGTCTGTCATTTTGTATATATGTTAAGTAACTTCAAAAGCAAGGGACAGTCACCAAGAGGTGTGAAATAACAGTCCAGGCTTTTTCTTTGTCTATCAAAGCTGGAGTTGTTTGTAAGTAACTTTAGAAAGCTGAAGTTTAGTTACACAGAAGTAACATTATCAATTTTTTTAACGAAGTCAATACATAGTAAAAATGTAAATAAAGTAAAAAATTGTTGAATGTACAAGTTAGTGTCAGAAATGATAATCAAAGTTTCACTGTATGAGAGTAAAAAAATTTGAGAAACTGTGCCAGTATCAAGCCCATCATTTTATACACTAAATAATAATTATTGTGGCATGATGGAATTGAATATCAAGATATCCATTGAGTAAACTAATAAATGGTAAAAATATACTAAGTTGAAACAAAGTTTGACTTGACTGTAAGTGTATCAAGAATGGATGACACTACAATCATATTGATCACTATTTGTATATTATCTATATATATATTTGATGTGTACTGTCAGTTTGTGGTGTTGAAGCAGCAGCTGGTGTCATTTTTGCTGTTCCCCCGCAGGGGCTCGTCTGCGCAGCGTCCCCGTGCTGTTCGGCGGCGCGGAGGGCGGCGCGGCCGGCGTGTACGGGAGGGTGCGCAGGGCCGCCAGCACCATCGACCACTTCAGGTGAGGCTGCAACCCCTGACAGCCTTCTGCAGTGCTCAGGCAACACGCTGTGGTGTGTGTATGGTTCCCTCCTGTGAGGGGACATCAAAACAATGCAGCTAAAGTATGGTATAAAATGAGTACTGACCCACTTCACTTGTGCTTTCCTATGACATAAATAGTCTTAAGCTTTTGCAGGTTGTCAGTTATTTAAACAAAGCTCTTGCAGATTTTGGTGCAAGAGGTTCCCTGAGTTATGAAAAAATATCTAATCAAATTCATTACATCCATCTTCTCAGTTTTTTACTTTGAGAGATTTTGACTGTGTCTGTCATAAACTGTTAGAGTATATTAGTGGGGGAGTATCACCTGTACTCTTTCAGTCCTGATGAAGACAAGATTCTGCCTTCTAAGCCAATGCAGCAGATTACCTTGGAAGATAATCTGTTTGGGGAATTAGTAAATGGAAATCATTCTGGATACAGCAATAAATTTGCCTTGATCCCTTTCTGAGGAGTTAGGTGAATTGACAGTATTCACAGCAAAGGTCTACTGCAAAACTTGAAACAAATATCAACAGAAAACAAAATTTGGTAATACTTCTTAGTCCTTTGAAAGCAAGATACCTTGATAGAAAGTCCTTTGTGCTTCCATGGTGCTTGAATTTCATTGTGACAGGATTTCTGTGATTGGGAAAAAATTAGGAGAGTTTTATGTTCTGAATTTTCTCACCCCACTTAATGTTTTGAGTATATGAAGTAAAATTCAAGACAACAACAAAGCCTTGTGTGTATTTGAGAAAATTCAAGACAGAAACAAAGCCATAATGTTTGAATTTGTGGTGACTGAAATGAGAGTAAGAGGAATTTATTGCTCAGTGTTAAATTGTGTGTTTTGTTTTCTCTTGCTGCCTGTGTAGCATTCGGCTGGGAATCTTTCTGAGGCGATACCCCATAGCAAGAGTCTTTGTAATCATCTACATGGTGAGTCAGCTTTCTTCAGTGCAAGATTTCCATAGCCAGTCTATAGGCCAGTACATCTTAAATGGAAAGATTGATGCTCAAAAGGCTATAATTAACAACTCAATGTGGGGTTTTGGAAAGTGGACCAAATAATGCTTTTACAACAGCATTTTGGAGTCACGTTGCTTGGCAGTTTTCAGTTTTTCCCAGGAATTCTTAATATATTAGTCTTAAATACACTTATTTAACCACCATTTAAAGGCCTGTGAAAGTAGATTCTAGTAGTAAAATATGGAATAATAGTGACCAGTTGCAAAGGTTAACCTGCCATGCCTGCATGCATTGCATTTAGGAAAATGACAATTTTTTGGAGTTTTTTTAATATTTGACTCTTCACTTTGGTGTTTTTTTGGTGGCTAATGATCACTCTTCTCTAGGAGCTGAAAAAGTAGCAAGAGAAGTTTTTCTTGGTAGACTTAAAAAATTGCTCACCCACATCAGGCAAAACTGTCAGGCTGGCAATTGCTAGAAGTGAAATGCCTCCCTTGTCCACTGGAGGGCAGGTGCCCGTCAGCTGCAGGCTTTGTTAAAAACACTGGTTTGACTCTTCACTTTGGTGTTTTTTTGGTGGCTAATGATCACTCTTCTCTAGGAGCTGAAAAAGTAGCAAGAGAAGTTTTTCTTGGTAGACTTAAAAAATTGTTCACCCACATCAGGCAAAACTGTCAGGCTGGCAATTGCTAGAAGTGAAATGCCTCCCTTGTCCACTGGAGGGCAGGTGCCCGTCAGCTGCAGGGACCTGTGGAAAGCCAGGCTTTGTTAAAAACACTGAGGACTTCTGCTGCCTAAGCTACAGTCTGAAGGGAAACTTGATGGTGGCTGTACAGAGCTGGGCAGTCAGTGGCAGTTACCCCTTTTCAGCTCAAACCTTTACCATGACTACTATAACTTGAATTTTTAAAAATATTTTTTAAATAAATGTGGGCTATGTATTCCTTTTTGCACTCCAGGCAGCTTCTATTCTAAGTGGATAATTTTCAGCCAAATTTGAATGAGAATTAACATTCCTACAGAGTTCATAAAAATGCCTCAAGTCAGTGCCTGTGTTAAGGAGAAGGAACTCAGAGCTTGGCTGCTTACAGTCTGGTGTCAGCCAGCTGGCACAGGAGTAGTGGCTTACCAGTCACTCGAGGCACATCACACAGTGTGCTGCCTGGGACTGGGTATCAGAGGGAGCAGCTGAAGTCTCTGTGGCATGGAGGAAAAGAGAAACCAAACAACACAAATCTGTAGGAAAACAGGCTGTTTTCCTCCTGGTTTTGGCAGCTTTATTTTTGCTGCTTGTGTAAAGTCTTCAGTTTTCTGTAAATAGGTTCTTCAGGATCTGGCTTAGCATTTCAATGTTTCAAATGCTAATTATTTTTTTAGAAGTATCTGATTAATAGAAAAAATATTTTAATAAAAATATTTCTACAAAACAATTTCTATCAGCTCTCACTGAGAGCTCTCCTATTTACTACTGCTGTGGATGGTGATTGTCAGTACTAAATTTATTTCTTTTCTTTTCCCAGGCCTTGCTTCATCTCTGGGTTATGATTGTTCTCCTTACCTACACGCCAGAAATGCATCATGACAGTCCCAGTGGCAGGTAGACTGAGACAGGACCATGTGCTGTGCTAATGTAGTGTGGACTGGCAATGCCTTTGGATTATCAGTCCTGAAACATCAGCAAACTTTTCCTCATGGTGTTTTGGAAGGATGAAAACCATCATGCCTGATTTATCACTACCTTTCAAATACTTGTGTAATACTATGTAGCTTTTTCAATTTACCTAAAAAAGCATCACTTCCCTGGAGAAATGAAGCTGTTAAGCTAAGCTCTGATTAGCTTTTACATTTTATGTAGACCCTCTGATGGCTAGAATGAAAGATAAAGCCTGTTCTGCAGAGAAATGCAAGGAATTCTGAAATTGCAGATATATCTGGTACAAATTGTTTTAGGTCATACTGGATGTGGGCTATGGTCAGGTAATAAACTGTATTTAGCATTTTAAATAAACTTATTTAAGTTTCTTTCAGTCTGCTTTTGCACTTCTGTTTTTAACTTTGTACATAATAGGCTTTTCCTTAACATTAACTGAAAAAGGAAAATGGATTGGTGCAATATATTTTTGTAAATAAGTTTAAGAATAAAATATTATGCATTCTTCTTAGCTTTGTACTCCTAGTGCAATAGATGTATCTTTCCTACCAACTGAATAGTGGGGCTGCCTATTTAAAGGCTGGTATTTTAGCTTTATTAGAGAAAGAGAGGTGGTTTTTGAGAAGGAAGGTTTAAACTGTTGAGAAGTAATGGTGTTTCTTTTTTGCACTTGAAATTTGTATATTTTAACTGCATTTTCTTATGCCTCTCTCATTAGTACATGTCTTAATCAGATCTTACTGAAACATTTATTTTCTAAAGCTTTGGGTACTTAATGAAAACAATTTCTATATGAAATCTATCAAAACATTAAAATTTTCTCATGTCTAAACACTCACCAAATATACTAATAAACAAATCTCATCAAATATTTATAGTAAAACCCAAAATACCAAACCTACTGTAGAAGTTCAGTTGTTGGATTGTGGCATTCTGTAATCATGAATTATCAAGGTTACTTTCTTTCCTTAAGAAATTTCTTGGTTTTTTGTGTGGTGCTCACAGCTGGGTAATGAAAAGATGACTGCAAGCAATTTGTCACTCTTGCTCTGCAGGATGTGGTTCAGTTTTTATGTGGCTTGGGTCCTGTGCAAGAAGTCTGTCACACTGGCTCCTATGGAAATGTTACAGTGGGCAAATGACTGTATTGCTGCTCTGATTCAGGTCTTGCAGAGAAAACTGAAATGTTTGGGTAAACTGAATAATAAAAGAGAGCATTTATTCTAAGTTGTGTCTGCCCTCTTTTGCATTTGTTGCATTTTGCCTAATTCCTGTTGCCTTTTCTTTCAATTCTGGTACCACTTTTGAATGCCATGGTGAGCTGGTTGGTATGGAAGGAGATCAAGTAAAGGACTGCACACATCCAGTTTTTTCATTTAAACCCTTCTTAAACACTGAATCTTTGGCTATTTCAGTATATTGTGATACTTTGGGGGATTAGTGGTATAAATGCCTTAGAGCTTTATACCTAGTCTTACTTCCTTTTCTCTTTTGGTTTCCCTTTGTGTGTGTATGTATGTTCTTCATTGGTTTCTTTGTTTGTGGGGTTGTTTGGTTTGGTTTTGGGGGGGTTGGTGGTTTTTTGTTTGGAGGTTGTTTTTCTGCTTGGTTTTTGGGTTTTGGAGGTTGGTTTGTTTGTTTTTTGGTTGGTTTTTTTTGGGTGGTGTTTGGTTTTGGTTTTTTTTTGTTTAGACAACTTTGGAATGCAGAGACTCTTTCTTTTTGGTGAAACTTAGTGAAGCTGTTACGAAACCCTTCTTCATAGATCAGTATTCTTCTCTTCAGTATTCCAGACTTTATGGCAGAAGTTTCACAGGGGTAAGACCTAGAAGATTTCTGCTAACTTTTGCATATTGAATTGAGCTCTTGTACTCCAGTATCAGTTTAGGCTTTTGTAGTGCTGACCCTGTGATGAGGATAAAATCTTTGATACAAGGCACTTGAAAAGCATCAGCCCTGTGCTGTGGACAGTGCTAAACAGTTTTAGAGCTAAGAAATAACTACTCCACAAAGCTTTTGTTCAAACACTCTGGAACATCTGTCCCACCGTTCAGTGCCTGCCCAGATGCAATGCAAGAACATGCAAGGCCATGTGTTGGAGTCTCTCTGAAGATAAATATCCCATTTTGAGTTGAAAGCCAAGATGTACCTCCTGCCTCCAGTCAGTGGTGTTGGTCCCCAATGTCATCTGTGTAGATTGTGAAGCGAGCCACAGCTACAAGTCAAAGGTGCCATGAGGGACAGCGTTCTGACAAGCAGCTCCTCATGGTGGTGTGCTCTCCTGGAGGCTGCCTCGCTGAAAGAACGGCTTTGCAGTGAACAAGCCTCTGGTAGCCTCTCTCCTAAGGGGTGGGAAGATACTCCAAGTGCCAAGTCTCTTCTTGAGGGACTATCAAACTGCTGGGCAGTTAAGCTACTCCCACTTCAGAGACCAGAATATCACTTTCAGGGTTTTGAAAATATTTTGCAAAAAGCTGACCCTATCTTTCCACGCTCTGTAGCCTAGCACCAGACATAAATGGTTGTCGTGACTCACAGAAAACAGGAATGCTGTCTCCCAGCTGCTGGATCTCACTGCCTGGGAGCACAATGGGCTTTATTATGTTTGAAAAGTCAGGTTTTATTTCCTTCTTTCCCTCCTTTCAGGACAGAAACTTCTCCAGGTACCAAGCATAGAGTTTGATAGAGTGAAAATTATGAAAAATGAGGAACGGGGTTTATAGGGAGCCCAGCATTATTTGTTTATATTTGTTTACCCCCTCCCCATTTGTGCCCAGTTTCCAGGCTGTGGTCAGAAGGACAGAGTCCATCATGCTGCCTTTTGGAAGGAGCTGAGAGGAGCTGTCCCCTCCAGGCTGGCAGACAGACCGAGGGGAGCAGGAGCTGCTCAGGTGGGGGAGGCTGCAAAGGGAGGCGGGGATGGGAAGGGAGAGCAAAACTACTCTTTCCCTGATACTCTGCAGCCTAGAAAAGGCTGGATTGTTTCAGACTCTGCTCATCTCAGTACATATTCAATTAGGCAGATGTACTTGGAGACAGATTTGGGTTTCTGCAAAAGAGGGCTTTGTGTGCACCCTCACAAGCCCTCATGTAACATCAAACTCTTCTTTGCCACCTTGGTTTGCTGACACCTGATCTGTGCTTTATTTGCTGTGCCAGGTCAGCCACATGTATACTAAGACCCTGTGCAAAGGAAGTGACTTTATTGCTTGATTACAGATAGCATTAACAAGGAGGAAATCAGAATTGGACAGTAATTAATCTGCTAATGTCTTGTCAATATGGATGAGAGACATATTGCTTTACCTGAGAGAATGGATTTCTCTGCTGGCTGACTGCAGCCTGATTATAAGATTTGACATTAATGTGTTGCTGCTAGATATTTAGCTATGAAACTGTAAGAATAATACAAAGAATTAATTGGAATCTCATGTGCTTTCATTTGTATGTTATCTTCCTGCCCTACAGCTTGAGGTTGAAAGCATTGACTTGGAAACAGGCAGACAGATGTCAGCAAACCAGAAATTGTGACAGATAAACACCAACCCAAATTTATCTGCATTTTTCTAACAGGAATCCATGTGCATGCCCTCACATAAACAATCCTCTTAGATACACAGTTTCCTTTCAGAAATGCACTCACTAATTTAATCTCTATTTTAGGCTACTCAGTATTGGGCTGGTGGCAAAACTGGATCCCACCACTGCATTCCACAAATAGTAGAATGATCTTTTGAGTTCTCCCTACCTAATGTTGCCTCCTGGCAACACTGCTTGAATTAAATGCTGTCCATCAAGGAGTTACTGCAACCTGTTTGGAGAAAGCATCTGATACTCCAGGCAGCTCAAGGAACTGCAGGGACCATGAACCATAGACAGGATCCGAGGCATGAGTGAATCAAGATGTGCAAAAGGACTGGGCTGGGGACACAGAGACACTTCTTCAAGCTGGAGGGGAAAAACAAAAATTGCTGATTTATGGTTGGAGACATTTGCTAGTGATGAGTTAAAAGTTTGACAGGTCAAATAGCATAAAAGAGACTTCTTGTGAGAGAGTAAAAGATAATAAAAGAGAAGCAATAGTCTTTTTGTGTCATTGCTTAGGCTTTTCTAGTCAGGAATCAAGAGCATGGATGAGTGTTTTGTCTAGAATTAACTTTTCCTATGGAGAATTTTAGCTTTCATTCAGGGAGATGTCGCATGTGCAGGTTTTCATGTTTTCATGTTCTGTTCAAATCAGGCAAATTACAAAAAAATATTTTGAGTCCACATTCTTTGAGGAGAAACTGGAAGAGGACACAAATAAGAAAAAGACTGAGTTCTGTAGCAAAGGGATGGGCTCCAAATGTTCTGCAAAATCAAGCATATGTGTTTGGTAAAGGTCTGTGATAAGAAATGGATGTTCTTATTTGCTGAAGTTAGCAAAGCTGAAATTAATCACCTGCAGCAAAATAACTGATAGGATACAGGGAAGATCTGAGCTTAGTGGAATGGGATAGAGTGAATGTTGATTTTTTCCCACAGAAAAGCAGTCTCTTTTGGCATTCATAGTAAAAAGAACATTATCAAAGACAGCACTTTCTACAGTTTAGTGCTAATACACTTGATGTGTTTTCTCAATAGCTTATAAAAAATATCACCTTAACACTAGTGTCTTGCAGCAGCCTGGAATGGATGTAGTCTGCATATGCAAATTCAAGCAATAATTGTCCTAAATTGCTCTATTTAAAAATTCAAGAAGCTTGTTGAAAGCATTTGTGTTGATATCTTTAGTGACAAAAAAACATGATTCACAATTAGTGTTTAATTTGTAATTAGAAAACACATTCTGCTCTGAATGAGAGATGGGAATGCCATTTTTCTGCCCAAACAGGTGGTTAGTTGCTTGAGAAGATCCCTGCCCATGAATGCCCCATCTCCACAGCAGCCTTCCAGTTTCCCTCCTGCTGCAACAACTGGGGAGGCTGCCCAGCTGCAGCAATGAAACAAAGGGCAGGAATTGGTATTTCCCCAGCTGTTCATGCTGATGTTCAAGGCTTCCCTCTACAATAAAGCTAGCTTAGTTTGAATTGCCAAGTGGATATGCAGATTGAGACTTTCCCAAGTGGAATCTCCTAAAAAAGTATTTATGCACCTGAAGGCTAGAGTCTGGGTTTTGTTTTTTTTTAAACCTTGATTCTTCTGGGCCCTATTATCCTAGTGAACCATGACTTTGACCTCTATGGAACACTCAGCTGGCCACAAACTGTTGATGTACAGACTTTGGTAGCCCTTGCTTCCCAAAAGCAGCACATGGCTTGCCTTTGCAGAGTTGTGTGTGCCCCCTTCTTCAGGGGTGGTGGGAGGCTGCAGCTCTGTGGCCCTGGCCCCA